AATTCTGTCAATTAAACGAGATAAAGCTGCATCACTGCCTGAGAAACATTGATATTAACATCCTAATGTACATTCATATATATACACACACACATATATATACACACACACACACACACACAGCGGGGAGGAATAATTATTTGATCCCCTGCTGAATTTGTAATTGTAAAAACGATCAAAATAATTTTTTTTTTATGGTACTTTCATTTTAACGATCATGCCAATGAGTGAAATAAGTATTTGATTCCCGACAATCCAACCAAAACTCTCTGACAGATTGGCCCATATGACACTTCAATTACAATCAATCAATAAATTACAGATACTCTTTATCTCAACTCATTATATTAACATCGTTTATATACAGCATGGCTGTACACAGCGTCACCAACAGCTCCACCATTATGGGTAAAACCAAAGAGCTGTCAAGGATTATAGATTATAGACCTGCACAACACCATCAGCAAGAAGTTTCTTAAGAAGGTGACAACTGTTTGGTGCTATTATAATTCAGTATATATTTATAATAATCAATAATTATTTCCCCCACTGTATGTGATTGTACAGTCTACAGAAACATTCACATAACAACAGAAAGAACACGTGCAGAACAACTTTTCAGCTTTAATACTTCCTCTAAACCTAGAGTCATGTAAACATACATAACACCATTTTTTTTCATTTACTTTCACAATATCCTCAGGAATAAAATCCCATTATCAATCATTACAATGTAATCTTTCCTCATGTGTAGGATAAAGAATGGAGAATATATTCAAAGTGCTTGTGAGAAAAATCCCAATTCGCTGTAATCTTAGTTGTGGGCAGTACATCTATTGTAAAATATGCTGTCTTGGATTATTTTATTGGATCACAAAAGGATTTGCTGAAAGCTGATTTGATGCAGAAATGGCTTTCAGATAGGTTCCTCTTTATCTCGTTGGGTCAAGATTCAGAGTGCCGTCACCATTCAGACCCTTAAATTTCAAATAACGGCTTTCTAAAGGTTATGTTTTCCTTTTCGGAAATGATACGACTCGGTTTGTTCTCCACTCTAATGGGAAGATTAGTTGAAAACACTCCATTGTCTAATTCAACAGCTGAACTTTGCACACTACATGGAGGACTCGATAAAAAATTCATGAACAACAATGCTCTGAATGCAAAATGAGGTAAATGCGGGGGAACCGGATCTGTGAGTTCTCGGTACAGACTGCCAAAGGGGAAAGGCTACACCGTGAACTTGTTTCTCCAATTATTACAATAGTAAAACTCAAACACGTAAGCAGTGAAGTGGATATAAATTTTTCCTGGTTAGCTGGTCAAACCAATAGCCCTTTCCTTCTTTGCAGAAGTAATTGGCAGAGCACCCACAACCTTTGCCTCTACAACACTTTCTTGCCTCCTGTGTTTAACTTCACCAGTTAATTCCACATGAAATCCAAAGGTACCATAAAACAAACTGAGCTGCAGTTGCAGAGACTATAAAAGGCTTTCTTGGCCTTCGCGCCTATCCACCAGGGACCTGTACAGATCTGTAATTACAAAATAAATACACCTTTAGAAAGGAATAGCGCTATAATCATATAGGTCTCATCATTGTTAACAGCATCAGTAGTTCAGACATCACAAAAAGACCTGAAAGAGAAATGGTAAATGGGCACCATTTACACAGTGCTTCTTCAGTCTTTCTCACTACGCGGTGCTTTACACTACAAGCCACACTCAGCCATTTCCACGCACATTCATGCACTGCTCTCTCACAGACACCTATGTGACTCTGAGGGCTGCTGAGTATCTTGCCCAATGACACTTCGACATACACACTGAGGACCTCGGGATCTTTCGATTAGCGGAGGGCCCGCTCTATCTCCTTCGAGATGCCACAGCCACCCCAAAAGCCTTTATGACCTCTTAAACAGTTTGGGGCTTGTGAAGGATTTGTGACATTCAAATAGTTAAAAGAAAAATGCAAACCTAAGCATTGAGAGAGACTCCTCTTTTGTCATACAGATAGAATTATTTATTCACTGTCTACAGTCTAATTTTTGGTATGTGTTTGCAAGTCAATCTTTATACAGAGTTTTAAAGTTGCATCTTTGTGGGCTGGATATAAAATGTACTGATTATTCAAATGGTGCAAAAGTCAGATTCATTTTTCTGCTTGACCAGAGGGTGCAGCGTGGTACAGCAAGTGTGGAGATGCCTCAGTGAAAACCATAGACATAGGTAATTATATGCCACCCAACACATAGGCATATTACAATAAACACATACATTACAACAAACCCACAACAATTTCAAAACAAACACGCTGCATTTGAACCTTTCCCCTGTTATTTATTGCCACCTCCTCAAACACTTTAATCATTTGCAGCCTTTTCCAGCACTTCACTCACACTGTCACCTACCATAGCTTATATAAAGAGCACTCACTAAGTTTCTATTCGTGGGATGAAATGCCAAGAAATCCGGCTATGATTTCCATTTCACGGGCTCCATTTTTTTCTATTAAAGCCCTCCACAGTATTTTTTCAATGACCATCAGGAATAGCTACAGCTTTTGTCTTGTAAAAAGTAGAAATAAAGCCACACATTAACATGCTATACAGTTCATCTATAAATCCTTATAGTGGGCGTTCTACAGACACTGCACAGTTAAGCTCAGCAGAACCGTTTGTAACTGTTAAACACTCATCATTGAGAATAGTTTTCACTGAAACAGTGAGTGAAGTAGTGAGATGTGACACGTCAAGTAGTGGAGGCTTGGATTTTGCACTTACAGTATGAATCACCCTAATGATTTTTACTGAATATCTTTCACTCTACCCTATATTTTGGCACCCTCTCATATGAACTCTTCAACAAGACTATGGGGTGTATGTAGCTCAGGTGGCAGAGCAGGTCAGCCACTAATCAGAAGGTCGGTGGTTCGATCTCAGGCTGCCTCCTGGCTGCATGCCAAATATCCTTGGGCAAGATACTAACCCCATGTTTGCCTACTGGTGGTGGTCAGAGGGCCCGGTGGCGCCAGTGTCCGGCAGCCTCGCCTCTGTCAGTGCATCCTAGGGCAGCTGTGGCTACAATGTAGCTTGCCATCGCCAGTCTGTGAATGTGTGTGTGAATGGGTGAATGACTGAATGTAGTGTGAAGCGCTTTGGGGTCCTTAGGGACTAGAAAAGCGCTATACAAATACAGGCCATTTACCATTTACTAAGCGGCTGCACGAGCCCATAAAGCGCCATGTGTTAAAACAATGCAAAACATTAGGGCATATATTCTCTCAGGCAGCGGTGAAGCAAGAGAAATTCAATGCAGGATGTCCACTTTGAATAAAATCTGAGAAGCTGAAAGCTTATCACTAACCATTGTTAGTGATCAAAGTGACAAATATCTAATCATTTGTGCTCATGGTGTTGAGCTAAAATGAAAAAATGCTACACTAATGCTACAAACCTGCTCAGCATATATGTATTTGATTACCCTCTCTGGGCTTTTGCAGGATTAAAACTCACTGTTTATCTCTTTAGTTTAACATGTTAGTTAACATGTATTACTTGGCAGTAAACACAGAGGTTATTGGAGTACTATTACATGTATCTGGCCATAAAGCAACGAAATGGCAAACTGGTAATCTGACCTAATGGTGCAATTAAAGTTTAGAGCGGTCAACAAAGATTTTCCAATCTGTATTTTGGGAAAATTAATGTCTATACCACATATCATGACAAACTATCCAGTATCGTACAGACTGTTCAAAACCAGAAAGAAATCAGGAAATGCTCCTGAGATATTTCAGTCTGAACAAAACAGGTGAAATGACTAACCATGCTGTGAGCCACGCAAACAGCTGTCCTCTAACTCAAAGGTCACTATCTGTGTACAATGTACTGGCGTCTAAATGGGCAGTTTGGCTTTAACTTGTCGTTATGAAATAAATGTTGACTGCAGAGTGAATGGCTACAGCGTAATGCAATCTGGGTTTTAACAGGCTACAGAAGGCTTCAGTCACACAAGCCTGGAGACCATTTGGCAACTGCTTCAGAAACCACCATTTGCTAGGAAAATGTTAGTTTTCCCTGACTGTGAGTGGTTGTTGGAGGCTACTGGCAGGCACTGTGAAATCAGCTGTTAAAGCCACAGTGATGCAGGGAAACCTTCATCAGCTGGTGAAATATGTATTCCCCAACTGATTGGCAAGTGGTTGCATTAAGTTGCTTACTGTAGTCCCAAAGAGTTATACCATGCAACACTAAAAGAAAAAAAGCCTGTCTGCAAATACTTACCTGCTCACAAAACTATAGTGAAACTGAAAAGCCTGTTGGTTTCAGCAGCAAGAGTTTTACTTTGGAAGAAAATATTTTCCTTTTT